TAAAGCATGATACTCAAATAAATAAGTAAAGAGTTAGGTCAGATGTTAGTAAAGTAGAAATCCCCCAAAGAGATTTCGTCGTCCCAACCACAAGAATCGGACGCGGATTATTCGGTATGCCCCCTCTTTTGCTGCTTTGTTGCAGACCTAACCTCGGATGCCTACCAACGGTTATATACCGCGTAGTGTCAACCGCAGGGCCTCAAAAGAGACGGTAAAATAGGGCCTTGCCCGAATCCCTCCTCACACCAAACCACCTAGGGTCCGAATACAACCGCTCCGTTCAAGGGTTCCGAAAATCACTTGCGCAAGACTTTAACCTTTAAATAGGGAACGCATCCCAACATACCACATATTCTCATCTTTTCATTACTCAAATGTTCTAAAACCCAATACCCACCCAATTAGGTTTCCCGTTGAATTAGGTGTTTTAAGTCAAGGTTAGTCAACTTAACCAGATAAAAATGTCCACACAAGCATGCATCCATAAGGTGAAGAAGATAAAGAACATAACATAACACATACAATATCATGCCAAGATATGATCATAAGCTACTAAACATTTTTATGAATACAAGGGCATAAAACATCCATGCATAACGAATTTTCCAGATTTAGCATCACATAAAGATTAAAATGAAAGGACTATTTTAGATCTTTCACCGTACTCGGCCTTCCTATGGCTCATAGCGAATTTGATCTAGTTTCTAGAACATATTTCGGAAATGGGATAGTCTTTCTGGATTTTAAGTTATTTAGAAAACATTCCAGCGCTGTCCAGATTTGTCGACCGTTACGAAAATTTGATTTTCTTGCAAACTGCTTGATGTTTTTCGATGAAACCAATTTTAGTTGAAAGATAACATCTTAAGGAAGGTTTTGACATAAAATAGAGGTTCAGAATATTTTTGTACATTTTTATGTAATTTTTGAAAGTTGACTGAAAAAAACAAGTTTCAAGGTGGAATGCCCAAAACAAGGAAATTTAGAAAAAATGGGTTCCACCATGGGAAAGTTTCATTTCTTTTGTGAAAAAAATATGCTAACTATCACATGTTTAACTCAGAAATTTTGTTTGAAAGAGTACCCTTGAAAAGTTGAGAGATTTGTACAAAAAAAGATGGTTTGTACCAAAATGAGGAAAATACAAGAGAGATGGAAACAATACTCAAATCTTGGTATTTTTAACATAAGAACATGATAATAACAGATCTGAAACATCACTTAAAATCTTTAAAAGGACATGCATTAGAAAAGAAAATGAAGAGAAGGTTGTGTTGGTGGCTTACCTTCTAGCTTTGCACAAGAAAATCTCTTCTTCTTCCCTCTCCTCCTCTAGACTCTCCTCTAGACTTCTCCCTCTTGCTCTCCTCCTTCTCTCTAACCGAAATGTGTGTGTGAGTGAGTGTGTTGTGTGTGTTTGCAAGCTAGTTGGTGTGTTGGTATTTATAGACAAACCTTTGAGGCAAAAAGTCCTAAAAGCCCCTTAGTTGGATATGGATGGAAAAGTTGGGATTTTGCTTGGAATCTAATGGAATATGGGTGGTTTTGGAGTTGAACCATAGGATTATGAAACAATTGGTTGATTCTTAGTTGAAAGGAAACTAGTTTTGGAATTAGCACCCTAGGTCTAGGTACTAGGTTGGTGGTTTTTCCTAGAAGTTCATGATAATGTTTCTTGGAAATTGATTTCTCACTTTCTTCTAGGAAGGATAGGCATAGGGAAGGGTGAAGGGAAATTTTTTAATTATTTTATGTCCTAGGCACATTCCTCAAGGTGTATACATATATATATATATATATATATATAAAGTTGATGGTACTTCAAGGTACAATGTACAAGTACTAGTTTTTGGGGCAAGTTTTGAATTTAAATAAAGAGTGAGGGCTTGGAGTGAAATACATGTAACTTAGGTAGAATTAAATTAGGTTAGGGAACCTAATCCGATTAGGGAAATTCCTGTTTCGATAAAAATAAAAATAGTAATGCTAACAGTCAAGATTCGAATTAATTTAAGTAACCGAGGGGCTTTAAGAAAATAATTCAAACATTAGGGTCTTAAAAGTAAATACTTATTTCGGGGGCTTCACATTATAACCTTGTTATCTATTTGAATGACATGTTCATTTCCTCTATTATTGAAATTGCTATTATTGACTTGAATATCATGCTTCACTATTTGCTTACTATAAATATGATGGTGTATTGGATTGGGAAAAAGGAGTGGGGTGTGTGTGCATTTACTGGGCATTCAAAGCTCACGGCATTTCATGCCAGGTATTGAAGATTATTAGGCTGGTCGAAGTCAAAGCTGAAGTATTTGAGGACATATGGCTATCCTATGAGAGTTAGGAACTAGTTATGTTAAACGTGTTTTGAGATTGTAAGTGATAGATCCCATATTGTATTTAAGACATGATTTGTAATTTGTATATATATATATATAACATTTGTAACCTATCCTTATACCTCGTCAACTCATGTAGGCCTTGTGTTAATATCTTGTCAAGATTTGTCAAAAGGAAGCTTTACTATCTAAGGTGGTTAGACTTAGAAGTGAGGCTATTTTGACTCCTCCGACCTTCCTGGGATCTTGCTTGGTTATTAGCCAAATGACTCATTAGTGACGTTTCCTACTCTTGTAACCTTAGATAAACCCTGTATTTAATGGTTAATATATTATCTAATGTTCCCGATTTTTGGGACGTCACACAAATAGAGACATTCGATGGCAAGGCAAGGGCATTTTCGGGTGGAGCAACCGAGCATGCATACGTCCCTCGCCCCCGAGGCCATTTAATCGCTTTTGTTAGCTTAGAATAAGTTAGCTAATTCATTCATACATGTGTTATAATTAATTAGCTTAATTCGTTTTGTAATGTTTTAATTAGCTTAGCATAGCTAATTATTCAATTGTGCTGTAATAATTAGTTAATTAGAATAGTTAATTAGTTCCGTTTTGTAATAATTAGCTTAGCTTAGTGTAGTTTAGCTTATTTATTTGGACCCTCCTTTGCAAAGGCGCAATATTGTAATAAGTGTGCGTGTGTGTGTGCATGTCTTCCAACCCCACATCTTTCTCCCTTTTATTTAATCGCTTTCGATGGTTAGATTAAGGACACGTTTTGATTGGCATACCTTATGCTTGCATGTTTGCATCATTCATTTGTCTTGCATGCACTGAGGCTCGGCGTATCATTC